GATATTTTTTTTGATGTTTTATAATTATTTCCCTAATTACAACTAGTGGTTGTAATAGGTATAATTAGGCATCTCAAAGTGGCGCCTTTTATTAAATTACTTGAGCTGTTTCCTGTTTCTTTTTGTTTTGTTTGTCCCAAGAGATTTGTATAAGTACACCTTTATTTTATTTTTTTGTAGTTGCCCCTTTCCACCCCCTTATCTTATACTTACCCGAAACCCCAGCTCTCCTACCAAACCCTGAGTGCCGTTCGCATATGTTTCGTTTATTTTGCTTGCCCTATCTTTGCCCCCATAGTTTCAGTCCCCAATTTTGTACCCCATAATCTTACCCCGTCTGGAAGGCAAAATATTTTCGTTACAATGTTCCTGTGCTAATTGTAGCTGTTTAGCTAATTCTAATTCATTTTTTATAGGGACTTTTCATCAAAACCACTTGTGCTGTTTCCTTCTTAAATTTTGGATAAGGCTTCGGTATCGGTGAAATTGAATTGAAATCTTAAGTTTTGAACTTGTTTTACGATATTTTTAATTAGGCGTAGTGGATGTAAGAGTAGTCGTAGATAAACTCTTTTTAGGACTAGGTAATCAGGCCAGATTATTTCGTACTCTACATTAGCTGCTGTGGTAGACCTAAGTGGTTCCTTGTTTTTCCCATTAGACTATTTTTATTTATTTCCAAGTTTTACTGCCTTCACGATCATTTAAATTTTCAGCCGCACGAAAGTCATGATCTTTAAAGACCATGCAATCAAAAGACCAGACTCCAGTAGTTTGAAAACCATTGACTGCAATTTCAATGCATGCTGCTCTCTCATAAGCTTCAGAAATTAATCTAGCTAGATGACGTTGTGTAACACATAATCCGGGGTTATAATAAAGCCACTTTTATAATAACTAAGTGTAGTAGCTTTTGAAAAAGACTTGAAGAATGATCTATCCAAAGGCTACACGCGATGGGTTGTATGTCCAGTCAATTGTGGCATTATTACACCGTGCTTCCTAGCACGTAAAATTCCTATAAGATTCTTAGGGTACGTTCTATGTCCTTTTTCTTCTTTAGGTTTCTTCTCCTATCGGAGGTTGGAAATTATCATGGCTATTTTAATTTTATTGGCCGCGCTGCAACCGAACCACACTCTCAAATTTCTTAACCAGGATATTTTGCTTCGTCCTGGGTTTCTCTTCCCTTGTTACTTTCCTTGCATAATTAACCTAAGTGATACGTTCTTCTAGCCCCTCATTGTATGACCCAGATATTGAATCTTTCTAATTTTAACAGTTTTTATGACCTCACATTCTTTCTTCACTCTTTGTAACACCTCTACATTAGTAACTTTTTCAGTTTACGATATTCTGTGGATTCTCCTGTAGCACCACATCTCAAAGGAGTTTAGTTTTTTGATTTCAGACTGCTCTATTGTCCACGCTTCCATGCCGTAAAGTAGAAAAAATGTAACAACGTAGCATTCTTGTGCGGATTTTTAGATTAAGGTTACAGTTGCAAAATAAGTTCTTTAATTTTATGAACATGTTTTCTGCCATTTCCATTCTAGATCTGATTTCTTTTGTTCGGTCTCCATCTTCGGTTAGCCATGTTCCTAAATATTTATATGTTGTTACTCTTTCGATCGTTGTTTTATTCGAGAATACAATTGATTTCGTTTTCTTGAGATTCATTTGCAGTCCGTATTTTTCACATGTATTGTATACATCTTTTATTATGTCCTACTGTAGACCTTCCATGTCACTTGCAAATATGACCGTATCTTCCACATAACTAATATTATTAATGCTATTTCCGTTGACCAAAATACCTTCCACAATATACAATAAAGCTTCTTGAAATATAACTTCACTGTAGACGTTGAATAAGAGTGGTGAAAGTATGCACCCTTGTCGTACTCCTCTAAGTATATTTTCTTTCTCTGTCAGTTCTCCTTCGACTCTTATTCTTGCTTTCTGATTTTGATACAGATTCGATATAATTTGTAGCTCTCTACTATCTATGTCTTTGGTCTTAAGAATACTTAAAAGCTTTTGATGTTGAACTCTGTCAAAAGCTTATGTGTAAAATGTGAAAAATGTAAAAATTATGTGGTATTTAATTTCTCTCCATTTGAAATGCAAGCAGTCGAATATCATTGATCGTGAGGCCAAACATCAACGTCTGTTTTAAAATGTGATAAAATAGCTCCTTCTCCACTACTGTTAGTAACTTACTACCTTAGCTAAAAGCCTTGGTTTCTTGATTTACCTTGACACTGGTCCACTTAAGGTGACGGAGGAAGGAAGGCTTAGGGACTCCGTACTACCTACAGCATTCATTTAATCCCATGTCTTCATTATGAAATGTACGAAAAAAACCCGGCTCATGACGTCCACATATCAAGTCCCATATTTTTCTTTTGGCATATAAAACACACAACAATAGTGTATGATATTTATTTATTTTTGAAAATAAGTAGGTCCTAAATACTCAATGGTATCTAAAATTGGATCGGTACAATATAGGTAACTCGGCGTGGTATAATATACGAAACCTGCACTTTATGTAAATAAACTACGATTCCTAACCTAAAAATGGCCCGGCAAAAGGAAACAACTTAGTTTTATACACCTAAATACACGCTTTTCTTGTATTTATGAGTAAAATGGTTTTGCATATAGCTTTACAGCTTCTGTAACCTTACGTCTGGAACTAGAACACTATACTGAATCGACAAATACTGAAAATCGACAAATGTTCAGGTTGTAAAATTTTAGCACTCTGGCTTTCTCCTTAAGAATAAATACAGCGGTGGTACAATATTGGCACGGGTACAATTTTGGCTACTTTCTCCTATATTATGTAAAAATTTAAATGACTTATGCTAAAGATGATAAAGTTAATAAAAACATTTTCTGGAGCAAGGAAATGATATATTAACAATTTTATCAATATATAGAAATTTAGTGTATTTAAATTAATATATCTCGTTAGTGATGGTTTCACCTGAGTGCCTTAGAGCTCTAAAATGAAGATCTTCAACATATCACAGCAAACATACTGTGTAGGAAGATTGTTATATTTCTTGTAGTTCCTTCTCCTATCGAAGGTTGGCTATCATCACAGCTATTCGTACCTTATTGGCGGCTGCTCTGAAAAGATCTACTGAGCTGCAACTATATCATTCTCTTAGGTTTCTTAGCCAGGAAATTCTTCGTCTTCCTATGGATCTTTTACCCTTGATTGTATCTTGCATTATGGCCTTAATATCTTATATTTTTATATTTTGCACCTCTGTTAATGTGGTCTAAATATTCCAGCTTTCTTGTTTTATGTGGTTTATGACCTCGCAATCCTTTTGTAGCCTTCTTAGCACTTCTGCATTTGTAACTCGTTGGGTCCATGGTTTTTAAAAATTCTTCTATAGCACCACATCTCAAATGATTTCAACTTCTTTATATTATTTATTTTTAGTGTCCAGCTTTCCATTTCATACAACAAAGTCGAAAATACGTACATATTAAGGCTCTTATCCTCAGATCCAGAGGAAGGTCTCGATTAACGAACATTGTTTTCATTTTTATAAATGCTTGTCTTGCAAGTTTAATACGCGTCCTTATTTCTCTACCTTGGCCATCGTTTTTATTTACTTATGTTTTCAGATATTTGTAGTTGTTTACTCTTTGTACTTCTCTTCCCTCCATATTTAGCTTTCCTACTGTATGTCGCTTGAATTTCTTAACGTTCATTTGTAGTCCATATTTTATACTGACTTGATGTAACCTATTTACCAAGTGTTGCAGTGCTTCTAGACTGTCTGCAAAAACAGCAGTGTCGTCTGCGAATCAAGTTGTTTAAGATTTTTTCGTTTACTGATATACCCTGTTGAATAACAATCTGGACAGCACGTAACCCTATTAAAGACCTCTTTTGATTTTTATAGTTTCTGCATTGACATTTTTGATTCTAACCTTAGCTTTTTGATTCCAGTACATATTGACACAAACCCGTATATTCCGACTATCCACATTCTTTTCTTTTAACAGTTTTTCGAGTTCGAGAACGTTAAAAGCGAACATAGCCTGTCTCATTCCTAGTCCTCCTCCTCCGAGTCCAAACTGTGTGTTATCTATATCTTCTTCTATTTTTTTTATATAGTATTCCATGTATTATTTTGAGAAATATCTTAAGTGTGTGTGGATTATTAACGAAATTTTTTTGTACTGGGAGCATTCTGCGCATGTATTGGACAGCAACCAATCTTCGGGTATTACTCCTATTATATATATTTTGTTAAACAGATCTATATAGTATATGTATAATTATATGTAGTGAACAATTGTTACGATCAGTCAATTTAACCTAATTAAATTGTGTGTACTAAATCATTGCTATTTTTCCATAATTTTGCCAAAAATTAGTAAATATATCTACTGGCAACTGCAAAATAGCATTTTAGTTATAAATTCACGCTAGTAAAATCATGTTTACTACAAATCCGTATCCTAAAATGACCTTATTACTTTAATATGATCGACTATTGGCCTATATTATTAAAAATTCCGATCGCAAACTCATCAGTGACCCTAGACATAAATCTCAACACCTAAACCGTACATCAATTGAATAGTAAAAATGACAAACTATACACACATTCTTCGCTTGCCCAAATTAGTCTTGCATACATATTAAAATCACATTCTGAACTTTCGTCATGTACAGTAAATTTTAATAACCTAGATTAGAATATTGATGATTTTATCGCCTTCACCCCATTTGGTTTGAGCTCCATCGTATATTCTTTAAGTGAATATTGAAATTGTTTTTAAGAATATATTGCCAATAACTGTAAAAATAAGTCAAGAACAAAACATAATCGTATTGTCTTAGGGCATTGCAAAATGGCTCGTTATGTATTCAGATGCATCATTTGGCCAATGTCGATATTAGTATAAAACGATATGTTATCGTTGAAAGCAGTATCAGTTTGATCGATCATTTTGGTGTAAAAATGTTTACTAAGGTAAGTTAAACATATTTCAGAACTTTTCGTGATTTATGCTGTATCTACAATCCTTTCCTGGGTGTTTTTGTTATCACAGTTTTTCAGCGGTGGCACTCCTGTTTCATTTATACTCTATGTTTTACCAAATTAGTTTGAGTATTTATTTTAATTTGCTTGTTTTTGTTTTCATGAAATAAGCTAAGCCCTTACACAAAAAGACTTTTAAAGTAAAGGCTACAGTTTCCACGACGCCGACGTGAGCGTACACCTTGTATGTGTACACGTATGTTCATTAAGATAAAGGTTTATTTATTATAATTATTAGGTGGGAACATATTTATTTTAGTTGGATTCTTATTAAGTTATCCTTATTTTGAAACTACAATAAATTTTAAAAAATATACAATAAAATAACCCAAAAAGGCCCAAAAGAAATGCAGTAAGAATTGTCGTATTGTGCACTTGGGTTAATTCATATAATCAATACCTAATTATCCTTATATTTACATTTTTATACTTAACCTTGTTAACTTAACTTTTTTTTTTTAATAAATACTAATAAGCCTACGGCTCTTTCCTTTCCAATCTACTTTTTCCAGGTTACTTCATTCTGTATTCACGAACTACCGAGCATCGCCCCATGAAATGACGAATATATTCCACCTTTCTTTCATTATTAAAAGCACATATTTTTTATTATAAGGTCGACCAGGTTTAACATTGTGATATAATATACCATATCTAATCTTAAATATTTACCTTATACCATTAAAATGCACTTCATCACTCATGTAACCCATGTCAATATTGAGTCCAATAAATCTCTGTAATATTTGAACAGATTTAATTCAGTTCTAATTTTAACAATTCTGTTAACCCCCTCTGTGGCTCAGTGGTAAGAGCGCCTGCCTTTAAACCTAAAGGTCGTGAGTTCGAATCCCACCTGGGTGGAAATTTTCGTTTATTAAAAAAAAATTAATAAATGAAAATAATTTCTATCCTTGTGTGATCGGTACACACCGGAGGGACCGCAGACGTTCGGATACAATTAGCGTCTCTTAGCAAAGACAATGACGTCGACTTTGCTAAGTATCAAGACAATTACTCTACACACACACACACACACACACACACACACACACACACACACACACACACACACACACACACACTACACCTCAAATTGTAAGATTGGCGAATGGATTTAGTGTCCGCAGTCATTTAAACACAAACAAAACAAAACAATTCTGTTAAAATTAGAAAGACTCAATATCTGGATAATATAATGAGGGGCGAGAAGTACGTATTACTTAGGTTAATTATGCAAGGGAAGGTATAAGGGAAGGGAAACCCAGGACGACGCAAAATATTCTGGTTAAGAAATTTGAGAGAGTGGTTTAAAATAGGGATGATGATTTCCAACCTCCGATAGGAAAAGGAATCTGAAGAAGAAGAATTAAGTTGCTCTCTCCAATACTCTTTCCCCTGTCCCGGTATGAATGACTTCTATCACCCGTTCTAGTTAATTTACTGAAAAATTTTCACTCTGTGTTAAATTCCACTCCCCATCTTTCTCCCAAGTTTTCTTAAGCTCTTCTCAAACAACAGTTACTTTTTATTATTTCCTTAAAAAGAAATTTTGGCAGACGTACTTCCTCATACTCTAGCACTCTCTTGATATAATTTTTATGTAACTTCTTAAATTTCTCAAGTCCCCAAACTTGAACTCCATAAATAAATCATAATATATCGAACTATACCTTCATTTATACGTACCTTAGATGGTAGTATAGTATGCTCTCCTTCAAGCCAGCCTTCAAAGAAAAATATTTGGAAACGAGGTCCGGAAAGAAGAAAAACATTTTGGTTAAAGAACCTCAGAATCTGATTCAATTCAACATCTGTGCAGCTTTTCCACGCTGCTGCAGATAAGATAAAGATTGTCATGATGATCGCCAACATTCGTAACGGATAGGCACATCAAGAAGAAGAAGATGGTAGTGGAAGATTCGCCTTAGCTAAAACCTGTCGCCAAGTCATATTTATAGCTCCTCTAGCCGCTCGTCGTTTTTGGTTAAAGGGGCACTAACAGATAGCAGCAGTATCAATTTCTCCGTAAATAGCGATAATTATAAACGCCTTTTACCATTTTTCCATTTATTTTCCACTTTGTTTAATATTTCCACCCTTTGTCAAAACACCATAATTTTTGACTTTTCCATGTTGATCTTTAAATTTTATAGCCTACAATAATCACCTAATTTATAAACCATAATTTGTAAAACGCTCCTACTGCTTGCTGACACCACCATATCATCAGCAAAAAGCGATATTCTAATGATAAATCAATTTAAATCAACGCCTCTTCCTAGAAAAGCATGTAGGTCATTAAGAAATAGTGCAAATAAGAGCGGACTAAGAATAAAGGTAACCCCTATCTCAACAGTTAAACCAACGGTTCGTACCATTCCTCCCCCAAGCTGCAAATTGTGTTCCTGTAAGAAGACATTTGATAATTTTCCGCATTTTAGAAGACAACCCTATACAGCTAAGCTAGTAATACAGCTAACCCCTTGCTCTTTGTATTTCAATTATTCTTGTCAAGTTAAACCATTAATCTACTGCAGAATATCCTTTCCTGTAACCTGCCTCAAATTTTAGCAAAAGCTTCTTCCTTGTGAGTCTTTTACTTGATCTAGCCTGATTCGTGTTGTCAAGGAGGTAGTTGGCCGCAATAGTGACATGTTAAAGAAGTCGTTGTTCGTGACTCTTATCCTATTTTTAATGATCTTGTTAACAGTATCCATGTCTAGGTTGCTATAGAGGTCACTGTATTTTGTTGTAGATTGGCAGGATGGATTGTCTTTCCAATAGCCAATATATTCTTTTATACTTAATGTAAAACTGCTCTCTTTTTTTCACATGGGCTTTTCAGCGCAGTATAGCGACTAATGTAATCCCCAAATCTTATATGGTATTGGCATATTGGTATCTGAGTATTATTTGCGTTTACACAACTGTTTTGTTTTTTCTTGTTTGTAAAATTAATGTGTGCTTACTTCTTCATGATCTTCACATACGGCCAAGACATCAATATCATCAGCTAAAGTAGACATTGTGTTATTATTTAATTTAAGAATATATATCATTAGTGTATAATAGGTACATGACTGGTCCTTTCACACTACTTTGTGATACACCTGCATTGATTTCTATTAGTTATCTATTAGTTCCGAGTAAGAATCTTCCTGTTTAACCCTAGAAACTCTAATCTGAAATGTATGATTTTAATAATTCTGTGTATTTACTTAGCAGAACCCTGCTTAATTTATATAGTCTATCTTTCATTATTTTATCAAAAGCTTACTCCACCTCGAGGAAGACAGCGGAGAGAAGAAAAATTTTCTTTTCTTCTATTGACCTATTTATGATATCCGTTATTCTATGGACTTGGTCAACAGGTAAATGACTTTCTTGAAATCCCAAATTGGTGTCATGGAATTCGATTCTTAAAGTCTATGACAGGTTTCTGTCTTTTCAGCAATAGCTTCCCGAATATTTTTGAAATTTTTGCTAGTAATGAAATGGGCCTGCACAATGAAACTTTATTTGCTTGCTTTCCAGATTTAAGCATCATTATAACCTCTGCTACTTTCCATATCTTGGAAATATATTTTAATTTAAACCAGGTTTATTTAGCTAACCAAATAGTAATTAATAGTCCTAGAGATGGTTAAATTGTGTTTAATTTCTCGATTTCTTTCAAACTAATAAGTGTTATATTTTCGTTAAGTTTACTTTTAAACTTATATGTATACTCGTAAAATTTCTGTATGGTAACTCGACTGTATAGGAGCAACTCCCATACAGTCTTCGTAGACACACCGTCTCAAGACTAGCAACTTCAACGTGGTATACTCGTAAAATTTCTGTATGGTAACTCGACTGTATAGGAGCAACTCCCATACAGTCTTCGTAGACACACCGTCTCAAGACTAGCAACTTCAACGTAGAGTCATATTAATTACAATTAAACTGGGAATAAGCCACAATTAAAGATAAAAATACGTTTATTGACGTTTCAATTTCCACTTCGGAAATCGTTCTCATTTGTATTTTGAGAACGATTTCCGAAGTGGAAATTGGAACGTCAATAAACGTATTTATATCTTTAATTGTGGCTTATTCCCAGTTTAATTGTAATTAATTTACAGTGCCACAAGAAAATAGCTTCAGAACAATGAGGAGTCATATGTCGCCATGTTACCTAATCCAATGGTAACTTCAACATCTTAAATCATTATAAGAAATTTTTTAAACTAAATGTAATCAATTATTTGTTAACGGGTTTTTTACCCATATATTTAGTGGCTACATTCATGTGCTCTTAGACACTGATGATGGAATATGGATTCCGAAAACGCTTTGTCTGTTTAACTTAGCCCGTTTGGGTTCTTAATATATACCTTTTACAAAGGATTTTTAATAAATGGGATAGTCACCGTCTTTCTGAATTAGTTTTATTAGAGATTTGTAATTGTGAAAATATTCAAACTTCAGCTCTATTAATCAAAAACTAAATAACTTATTTTAGATTGGATTAAAAAGCTGTAATTTATTAAATTGTTTTTCTATTTTTCAGATTTTAATTTCCATTGCCTCCGTTTGCCTCGTTCAGGCTGCTGTCCAACCAGTAGTCCAACGTGCGCCACCAGTAGTCGCAGCAGTTCCTGCTGAAAACCCCGAATACTCCTTTGCCTATGATGTCCAAGACACATTAACCGGTGATTCTAAGAGGCAAACCGAGAATCGTAATGGAGATGTTGTTACTGGCGAATACAGTCTGAACGATCCAGATGGTACCAGAAGAATCGTACAATACAGAGCTGATCCCATAAATGGTTTTGTAGCTGTTGTCAGAAAAGAACCTCTTGTAGCAGCACTAACACAACCAGCTGTAGGTGTAGTTCAACGACCATCTGTAGATAGCGTCGCTATAGAAGCAGCGGACTTGGAACCCATAGTAGCTGCCGAACCACAACGGTATGTTGCTAGACAACGGCAAGTTGTACCAAAGAATGAAGAATTTGAAAGCAGAAGGGAACCTTTGGACCCTAAAAGAGCTCAACCTAAAAACTCCAAGCCTGCTAAGTTGGAATTAGCTCCCGAACAAGCACAAGGTTTCCCCGTTGCACCTGCTGCACAGGTTCCAGTCGCTCAATTTGCCACAAACATTTTTAGTGCTCCTTATGTATCTGCTCCAGTTATTTCCCTACCTAGATATTCAGCTCCGTATACTTACAGTACTGTGACTGTATTCTAATAATAATGTATTTATTAAAGCAACTATAAATTTGACAATAAATCTTTTAAAATATGCTAATATTATTTGTTATTTCTTCTACATAATGAGTCTATGTGTAAGAGGTCAAGAAGATATTTTTAAAGTTATCGGAACGATCAAAACGTATACAATTAGACAATACCATTTGAATCCTTTATACTTTGTAGATTTTCTTACCTTTGCAACACCATCCTAGTACCCATTGTGTTTTATTTAAGTTTTCTTTGACTTTTTATTTCGCTAGTCGCTACCATAAATCGTAATAAACAAAATTTATAGAAAAAAAGAAAAAACTGGGTCTCTCCCTACTCATTCAGTTGTCGTATCCAGATCAAGTAAATTAACAGTAAATTAGTATTAAAAATTGTGCATTAAAAAAAAGAGCAGAATGAAATTTATGATGGTAATTAAAATTGAATTTTTTCAAAATGTCGACATCTTTTTTCTTGAAATTAAATTTAAATAAATTCGTAAAATAGTTTTTATATAAGTATAAGAATGTAACTTTTTTTTATAATTAAAATAGTAAATAATTTTTAATACCTTTACCCCTGTTGCTGATATGCCCATGGCCGTATCCGCCAATAGATATGCGGGTGGACTCTCTTGCCCTTAGCAAATTTTGTTGGAACATACCGACTATCACGGAGTTATCAAACTACGAATAGGTCGTACTTATCAAAAGAGCCAGAAGTAGATAATTTTATGGCCGAGCTTTGTTAACCTTTTTCGGTTCCAGGCGCGTCCTTTTTGATAACTTTGGTGAATACAGTTGTAAAAGCTCTTTAGAGTATCTTTCTGAAAGAACCTAATTCAAAAGGTTCTATCTTTCCTCATGGTTCCCAACTACAGGAGTCCCGTTAAAGGACTCTGGGTAGGACAGTCTTAGAGTAAAGACGCTTGCTTATCTTACCGTTCTCTGTGAAATTTTTCTTTAAGTGTGTATACTTAAATCTTTGAAATATCTCAATCGTATACCATATTAGCTTAAATATTGTTATAAAGTACCTTCATTTTAATTAACTTCAGTGCTTGATACTGGTAAAGTATGGTAAAATAAGTGAAATAGTGCAGCAGTCATCGAGATTTATTGTAAGTTTTATTTATTACCTTCAATTATCTGGGCGAATAATATTGTAATCATATTACTTAAACCTCTACTAAAGGTAGAGGCACTCGAGAACACCTGCTGAATATAAGACAGATAATCGAGAAATCTAGGGAACTCAACATCCCACTATACATCTGTTTTATAGATTACCGTAAAGCGTTCGACAGGGTCAAGTGGAGACACTTATGGCGAATACTAAAAGAAGTAGGCGTACTACAACATCTAATTACGCTTATAACCGAACTATATGAACACACTACTGGATCAGTTAAAGTACTTGACACACTTTCGAACGAGTTTCATCCAGAACGGTGTGTCAGACAGGGATGTATACTATCTCCACAATTATTCAACATATATGAAGAGTATATTATGCGAAGAGCACTTGAAGGATGGGAAAAGGGCAGCTCAATAAATGGTCACAAAACTAAACAACCTACGTTTCGCAGATGACACAGCCCTTCTTGCAAATAGTCAAGCAGAGCTGATAGAACTTATACGACTGATCGAAAACGAAAGTCAAATATTTGGTCTGCAATTAAACATATCAAAGACAAAGATCATGATAGTGGATAGACTACACAACAATCATCCACACATAACCACAATTGACCGGTTCGAGGTTGTGAGCTCATACTTATATCTGGGATCATTAATCACAAACACAGGGTCATTACAAGAAGAGATTAAACGTAGAAGTAATCTGGCAAAAGTTGCCACAGCAAAAATGACCAAAATATGGAAGGACTGTCAAATTTCAAGAGCGATAAAGATAAGGTTGATCAACTGCTTAATATTCCCAATACTGACCTACGGATTTGAATCTTGGACTTTGAGACAATCGGAGAGAAGAAAGATAGACGCCACTGAAATGTTCTGTTGGAGACGAATGTTACGAATTCCTTGGACCGACCGTAGAACAAATAATTCAATTTTAAGAGAGCTAAAAGTTAGCCAACGACTCTCTAGTAAAGTCCATCTCCAACAATTAAAATATTTTGGGCATGTTATGAGAGCAAACACAGAAAACATGGAAAGACTCATAATACAAGGAAATTGTTTACAATTTCCTGAAACCTTTCTCTGTCGGCTGCTGCGCGAAATAATTCTTCTACTGTGGAACCACACCATTGTCTAATATTACGCAGCCATGAAAGTTTCTTTCGACCAATCCATCTCTTTCCTTCCAGTTTTCCTTGTATTATAAGGCGAAGTAAATGGTATTTAGGTCCTCTAATTATATGGCCGAAGTATTCTGTTTTTCTCCTCTTTATGGTGTTTATGAGCAGACGTTCTGAATTGATCATTTGAAGAACATCTTCATTGGAAGTGTGCGAAACCCACGATATCTTTAGGATTCGTCTATGGAACCACAATTCGAATGCTTCTAACTTGTTTAGCATTGTGGTTTTTAACGTCCATGTCTCACAACCATACAATAGGATCGACCACACATAACATTTCAGGACTAATTCAAAGATCTATGCATGAATTAAAAGAAATGACCAGAGACAGAGATCTCTGGAGACGGACAATACACGACATCACGTCGACCACTACACTCCCCCTGGGGGGTCAGGATTGAAGAGAGAGATTACTTAATCCTGGACAAATCTGCGTCAACCATTTCTTCACCTGTAGTTAAGGGTAACTATCAATTTACTTAAAAGAACATTTAAATCTTTCATAAGAACTTTTAATCAGGTATTAAGAACTTCTTACAAATGATAATTACGAACATTCAATATTTAGTAAGAACATTTAATTAAACTAAAAATAGTGCGAGACAGATATTTAACTTACAACCAAGTGCGGGTTGGTTTCATTTTTATACTACAGAACTCTTGTAATCTTTCTATATTGTTTTAAATTTAACTTTAATTAATTTTGTATTATTTGCTATAATTGCTATCCATTTTTAAAATGGGATTTAAATTGGAGAACGGAGTCCACCTAATATATTTAATATTTGTTTATGTAGTGTGTTGACAAATTTATTTAATAATTTACTGTTGATATCTTCCCTTGAATTTGGCCTCAGAACCTAAATGTTGTTCCTTATCTCTTTTCGTTTCTAATTTCTTAATTTTTTCCATTAAGTTAAGTTAAAAACTTAAGTAACGCCCTTTTTCTATCTTATCTTATCTTTGGTAATTTTACCAATTTATTGTTTATTTCTGTATCTTTACTAATACATCTTTTTCTGTCCTATCTTAAGTTATTTCGTCCGTTAGACCCATTCCCGGTTCCAAAAGCTTGTTTCGAACTCTCCGCTCCGTTCTTTACCAACCATCTGTCTATCGCCCTCAGTGTCTCCATTGTTGACCTTTCTAACACCATTCAAAAAAGGTTTCCGAGATTACAAGAATATAAAAAAAGATCAGGAATATTGCTAAGCAGAGGATTTATAAATACCAAGTACCAAGAGAATTCATTTGAACGAAGTTCTATTTTAAATAGTTTAGGAATCTTCTTATGTAGAGTTGCCCAGGATATCTCTATAAGTATTTTTTGATTTATTTTTTGTAGCTATTTCAATCCTTCTCGTTTCATTTTGTTTCAATTTATTTGCTTACCCTATCCCCTAGCCCAGTAATTGTTTATTACCCACCTTTTAACCCCCTATAGCAAAATATAAATTGTTACAACTTTGTATCAAGTCTATATCCATTTTTGGTTTTAAATTTGGATATAATTTATTCAAGAATAAATGGAGCAGCAAACAAATAAAGCAGTCCAAATACTGCAATACTAACATTTGTCGAAGATATCAATTTGTTTTTTGCCAGATATTATTTGAATTCTTGACTGTTTTTAGCAAAACTTTATTAAATTTTACTCTAATTAAACTAACCCTTATCTATTTTAAGGAGGAGTACGAGCGTGGCAGTTAGTTATCTATGATAATTATTTGACTAATAGCAAATGCTCAACACTCTATCTATTGATTGCAGCAGTTATTAATGTTTCCATCATAATCCCAATTATTAATTATTATAAGCAGCATAAATCCTTGTTGACTTGAGGTTAATTGCCACCTTACGTTAGTGTTCCAATAGATACTCATAGTGTAAACTTTTATAAGAGTAAAAGCTGCCGAAATGAATACTTAAGGATTATAATACTGGTATTAATAAAAAAAATTATTTTTATAAGATAAAAATATAGAATATTTATTTACAATAAAAATACTACAAACAATAAAACAAATATAAACTAGTTTAAAAAAATATAGTCAGTCAATATTTGTACAGTTATATTTAGTACACGGCCGGAGCTCCCCAATACGGAGCCGGTACCCCTGATCCAACGGCTAGTGGAGCAGGACCCGCTGAGAAAGGTGTCACTAAACTCCTCAAACCTGAAGGCAAGGGTGCGGCTGCCAAATAGGGCGAAACTAACTTTGATGGGGCAGCAGGCAAGTAAGCAGGACCTGGAGCAGCAGGAACTACGGCTGGAGCTGGAGCTGGGAAAAATCCAGCTCTAGTTAAATACGGGGAAATAGCTGGAGCTGCAGCGAATGGCAAAGCTGGTGCTACAGCTGGGGCAGCGGCAACTGGAAGACCTGGTGCGGCAAAAGGTAATGCTGGAGCTCCAAAATGTAAGGCAGGGCCTACTGCTGGTACAGGAGCTGCAGCAAGTGGAAGCGCTGGAGCAGGAAGCGCTAATGATCTAGCGACGGGAGCGACTGGGGCAAGAGGAGCAACTGGTGCAACAGGAGCTACAGCTTTAGCTACGACAGGAGCAACTGCAACACCTAGAGGAACTCTTCTGACAACAGCATTAAAGCCATGTACAGGATCAGCGTAATAATCTACTATTCTTCTGGTACCGTCTGGATCTGCTACTTGGTATTGTCCTCTCACAACGCCATTGGCTCTGCTTTCGACTTGTCCTTTTGAATCTCCTGTCAGGGCATCCTGCACATCATACGCAAATGAATATGCAGGGTTGGGGTCAATCGTGGCATCAGAAACTGGAGCTGGAGCTAGAACAGGAGCTGGGGCTAATACTGGTGCTGGAGCGAATAGAGGTGCAACTCCTGAGGCACTGACCCTGCTTCTGGCCAGTAGAGCCGCCATAAAGATGCTGAAGATAATCTGAAATTTGTTATAAAATCAAATTTAATTAAAACAAAATCCATTAAAATGTATTTTTGTATATTAAAGAGCTACTTTAACTTTTTAAAAACGCATTTATAGTCTGTTAAGTTCAAGTTTTAACCTATACTTAGCAACCGTGGTGTATATTATATTCTATCTGTTTATTTTTAAACTTATTATCTACTACTCCATTACCAATATAATAAAAATAGTAAAACTTTTTTATTAGAAACTACTAGGTACTGCTGCTCTCGCTAGTATTGTAGTCTTCTGGAATAAATATTAGTCTTTAGTTATATTACTCTGCCTACGTTTTAATGTAAAAAATATTGGAATATATACTGTAAATAGACTGCAAAAATAAGGGAATCCATATTAAATGAAGATACTTGAACCATCTTACGATGATTGAGGAACTACACACACAATCCCTAAAAAAAGACTGAAAATGAATTTCAGCAAAACTAAACTAATGCCAAATAAATATGACAAACCCATGATAAACATCGAAGGAACAAAGAACATGTAGATGAATATACATATCTGCGGGCTCAAAATGTTAAGGTAAGCAAAGAAAATCAGACTACCAAAATAAGCAGATGTTTAAAAATGAGATAGGCAGCATTCGGAAGACTCTCATACGTACTTAAAAATAAAAATATACCTCAAAGATTGCGAACCAAAGTGTTTAATTCTTGTATTCTACCTGTACTTACATATGGAGTTTAAACCTAGACATTCACTAAAATAAACATGGAGAAGATCAGAAAAACTCAGAGAGATATAAAACGACAGATACTGGGTATCTCACTTAAGACCATAAAACCAATGAAGACATTCGTAATAGAACAAAAGTAAAAGATGCTGTCGAATAGGCAGATAAACTAAAATGGAAACAGGCTGGACATATCGAACGTTTTAAAAATGGCCGATGGAATTAAGAAATCGGGAATTGGCGGCCATATAAAGCCAAAAGACCACGAGGAAGACCGCAAATGCGATGGAGCGACGATATTAAAAGAACTGTGAAAGTGTGACAAGCAGAAATATCTAATACTACATACAAAGTTTCAACAATTTAAAGATAACTTAAAAGGTCAGATCTAAAGAGATATCTAAAAGGAAAGTACCTAATAAGGCTAACTCATTAAGCAATGAGATTAAAAAAGCACATAAAATCAACGTTTTTTTGTCTTTAGGGTCCATTATTTAGCAGTTCTTATAAGAAGTAGATTAAAGAACATCGAAATATTTGACTTTATTTAGAAACTTTGCTGCTAACAGTGGTTCTGCAAAGTTGTGGAATGGCACGTAAATTTAGTTTTTGGGTATTTGAATAGAAGTGCCCTCTAGAAAACAAAACTAAGACTGCGAGACTCTTGCCTCTTGGAGTTGAGACTGAGTGTCGTTTTAGCAAGTATAGTAATATGGGTATGTGCTTAGAAACTTTATGAGACGCAAAAATATATGTAAAATTGGAACAACTGGACTTAAGCGCATTACGTTACTATAAGCACAATACCATAAACATACATACCGAATCAAAATATTCATTAAAAAAACACATTTGACACAATGTACTTGCAAAGTAACGTTTAATAAATAGCAATAGGCTAATGGATAACTGCAAGACTTGCAAGACTCTTGCTGCAAGACCAAGACCAAGACCGGGAGTGCCAAACCAAGAGCAAGACCAAGACCAAGACCAGGTGTATTGGCGCAATACCAAGACCAATACTGTCTAAGTCTCGTCTTGTTCTTGCATTTTGGGAACACTAATGGAAATATACTATGTGGAAAAGATTTCTATGACGACACTTGACTAGATTCGCTTGTGACTTGAAAACTTTTCCTTTTGTGTTAACTTTTCTCAAATGTCTTCTGTGGATGCTGTATTTTTGGCAGGCATGGAGCTGTATTTTTAACAAAGTTTAACATATTATTAATGGGGTATTCATTAATAATGGCACTGATCGGCAGAATACTGAATACGAGGAATAGTATTATTGAGCATATTTTGCACTTACATTCGTAAGTGTTTTAAAATTCAAATAAAAGTTCGTATTACTGGAAGAACTAACTGTGTAATGAATGTATTATTGAACACTTTGGCTTTTAATTTAGAGGAAAAAATGTAAGAGTCTCAGATATTTTCTCTCATTATGTAAAAAAAGCCAACTAGATATAACTAGTAGATCATTACATTATATCAAGTAAATAAAATATTAAGATTTCGAATTCGAAGATGATAAAACAGCAAATATGAATTTTAAAGCAAAAATGAGATAATAATAGAATCTTTTCATCTTATTTAATAAACCTTAACCAAATAGATCTATAGCTTAATCGTAACATAAATTAAAGCAACTCTCCTCATATTTTAACAACAATATTTTTAAAATAAACTTATCTCATACAATCATATAGCTTAATAAATAACCGTAAAGAAGTTCTCCCCATATATCTACCAAAATTTACTAACCAGCAAAAGAAAATTAGTTCTAATGTACATAACGAGCAATATATTTACCTCTCATCTTATCGCAACAAAAACCCGCCAAAAATTCTTCCAAAGCCGGCATACAATACAATACATACTGTATATATCACTTTTACGACCCAATATATCACCAGTTATATACCGCCAAAACAATAGATATCTTTATCAGCCGGAGTTTTAAGCCTTGCTGTTTACAGGGTGATTAAATGGAATTTACAAGCAGGCGTATTGTATTTGTGTGGTTACGTGTGGCGTTGGATGTAGCCTGTACTCACTAAAAGTGTTTACGCAAAGGCCTACTTTGCATGAGCTTAACAAATGAAATGATTATAGTACGCACGATAAATATATTAAAAAAAATTTTAACCAGATAGAGTATAGGAATTAAGAATTATTAAATAAGTAAAAGTAAGTAAATGAGGCCATTAGAAATATTAAACTAATGGAAATAATATATTTTTTTTATTATTGTATCAATTAGGAACTATTTACTTATTAGATATATTAAACATCTGGTCACAAAACTGGTGCAAAACACGCTCCCACTAAACCTTGAAAGAGCTTATTTTAAAATCATTATGGGAGATTTTAACGCCAACATAAGAAAAGCATAACCAAAGGAACACACCAAATAGGGAAATATATGCTCTAGGAATTACGAAAGAGCGAGGAGTACGGTTACTAAAATACACTCAGAAGCAACACTTTTTAGTAAACCAGATAATAAAAGATGGACTTGGATAAGCCAGACGGGAAAACCAAAAATGAAATTAATTACATGATAGCTGACCAGAAATAGTCCAAACAAACAAAATTAGAGAACTCATTGGAAGTCTTTTGTCCAGAAAATAATGCAAGTAGAGTTAGTTTCATTGTTTTTAATTAAAATATTAAAAGAAAATGTTACCCCTGGCCATTTCTATATATAAATCAAACTTGCAACAGGTGTATGTTCTTAAAAAGCTTATTTAGTGTTTAAATTTTTTATATTGAAATTAGATGAGTCCTTACGGCATGTAACATGCCATCTTCAGACCCATGGGTTACAAATACCTCATAGACGAGTGATTGCTCATACAAAACATACTAAATAACATTAGAATGCCTTTGTTATAAGGGTGAAAATCTTTTTAAAGTTGTAAAAATCATATTTAAAAGGTGGGTGATATACCAATGACTTCCTCGTTAGAACGAGGGAAATGAGATATGCCAAAATAATTCTAGAGTGTACATCCAGTACAGTATAGAAAAACTGCAGCATCTCATAGTAATTGTTAAGATATCTAGCCAACAGGATGGACTAGCATAAATCTAATCATTGAATGCTCATGCGCAAAACCCAGCAACAGCAACCTGCCAGCTGATAATGAATATTGATAACGTACTCCTTAGTACAGTTGTTAACTTAAACCTAACCAAATAATTAAAATCCACTCTAGAATTAAAAGAGTGAGGGTAACATTTAACAAGATAAATATAAGAAATCTATTAATAGACAGTAAGTAGCTTACATCGCACATCAAATTTAAGTCCGAATGCAAATAAAATAACCAAGTCGTGGACTTTTTCCGATATAAACGGAAATAGCATATGCACAAAAATATTATGCTACTCACCGGGAGACAAAAGATAGAAATATATCAGTTAAATTTTAAAGCAATTTGCATAAAATAATTTTTGAATTTAATAGATTACCGCATAAACAAGAAGTGCAACAGGTAACAGGCAATCTTCGGCATTAGAAACTAGCGCCTTGTTGTAAAAATACTGGTGATTAGTTTACCTATCTGCGGTGATGAGTTTACGGATCTTTAAAGGATTCTGGTGATCAGTTTAGTATATCTCGGAGGGTCTAATCATTTTATGGGGGCTATAAAGTGATAAGTTTTTATACGCCCAGATGGCTTCGGTGACTTGAAGCAAGTAACATCAACTGCTCACGGGTCTTAAAGAAAACTTTGAATATGCCCACCATTGGGCAAATGGCGATTATTGTGCTGAAGATAGAGACTTGACAAAATAGCGACTTTACAATTTTTAAGCCAATTTGGATAAATAATCCTTATGACAGAGAGAAAATGCTAAAACTAGGAGGTAATTAAAATTTTTGCAATTTGCAATTTTGCAAATGCAACTTATAAGCCAATTTGGATGAATAATCCATATAACAGAGAGAAAATGCTAAAAATAGGAGGTAATTATTATATGACCACAAAAAGCGAGACTTAAAGTTGGCGATCTAAAGGACGATAAGATATACACCAAAAAAGTATTAGCAGAAAATGCAAAAACAAATATGTCATCTAAAACGATGAAGTCAAGGAACAGTAAGCAAAAATTAAAGCAAACAACTGGGCTAAAGAACAATAAATGAAGGCAAGTCTCTTGCAAAGCAAAAAACTCGGTTGTTCTGTACAGATGTAAATGAAAATTGCATGGAAAAGAAAACAGTTTACCTGAAGCAATATATAACAGAAGAACAAATATTACAAAAGAATAATAAGAGAAACAGAGAAGTAATAAGAATTAAAAACAAGCATAAGGAACGCTTCTTAAATGACCTGGAACATGATTTTTATGGTTTTCAAAAGAAATATGGCTCTTTATAAAAGGTCAAAAAGTCGACGGAAAAAAAAACTAATAAAGCCAAAACTAATTGAATGAAGTACACAAATAAATAACAAGTGATGTTGCAACCACAAATACCAGAAATTTCCATAAACACAAAGAAGTTCATATAAGCTAGTACAAAAAACATTTGAAAAATTAAATAATCAAAAATATGCAGGTAAAAATGGGATATCAAATGAATTGTTAAAATCTGGTATTATAAGACACAATAAAATGCCAGAAGAATGGAGGATTAGCGAGCTAATCCAATTATTCAAAAAGTACGATAAGGAACAACCAGAAACCTACAGATATTTTGCAAGAACGAATAAATCAGCTTATAAACTTATAGCAGATCAGCAAAAAGATTTCCGTACGGGATAGTCATGTACAGATACAATATTCGTCATACAACAGATAACAGAGAAATAATTAGATCACAATAGATCCGCATTCTTATGTTTGATCGACTTAAAGAAGGTCTTTGACAAAGTAGCATTTAAATATATAATAAATTTCTTGTTTAATAAAGAAAACTTGCTGGATATTATAAAACCAATTAAAAATGTCTATCAAAACAATTGGATGGAGGTTAGAATAGGTGAAAAACTTACAAAAACCTGTAGATAAAGGTAATGAAATAAGACGGGAGGTTCAATAACTCCTACGCTATTTAATCTAACCATGGATGAAGTCAATGAAGTAGAGGGATACGTAATGGGGAAGAATGAAAGTTCTCTCTTACGCTGACAATACAATATTGATAGCTCAAAATAAAAATAGCCTTCAAAGAATTGTTCACACACCTAATATAGAAGCAAAAAAATATAACATGATAATTCCAACTTAGAAAACTAGAACAATATTAATGAGTAGCGAACCAATAAGATGTAAACTGTGAGCCGATGGAGTAAGCAATAAACAAGTAATGGAGTTAAAGAATCTAAAAGGCAGTAATGTACAGGGTATAAACAAGTGGAGACTAAAAATGAAAAAAATGAAACAATCATATCTGTGGAACAGCGGACACAAGAAGGGTTAAAATAACAAGTGAGAGCCAACAAGAATCAACCACCAACTGGTAGAATTATAGCTTCACCGCGCAAGAGATGGAGAGACAATCTTCATAGAGGCAACATTTCGCCAATAAACAAGCAAAATTGCTTATATAAAGGACGAAGAAATAATGCGACACAACAGTGAAGAAAATAAACAAACAGAACACTAGAAATAATGTTGTTAAGAAAGTAAACCCATATAAACGGAATCAACAATAGTTCTATATTCAAAAAAGACTACCAGTAATAAACTCAGAGCAAAAGTGTAAAAATATATTAGCTGAAAATACATAGTTACATCCGAACTAAGAATTAAAGATATTGAATGCTTTGATATCATCAAATAATAGTCTTAGAATTAGGTAACAAAAGATTAAAAAAAGGTAAGCAAGAACATATCACAGAATGCAACGAACAAAAATATTTTTAGAAACTAATACTACAGACGATTTAAAAATTGCATTAGTTTGAACAGAAAAATAGGTCCCCCAAATCGCTGCTCCCTAGTAATCTCTAGAGCATGTTATCTGGTATCACATCAGACACTAAACTCCCTAGAAAAAATTAACCAGTCTGAGGTGCTTAAAAATCACCAGGAGAGCAAGAAAAAGGGACATGGTTGATTCCACTGTGACTTGTTTTCTAAAATTAACAATACCAGTAACACTAACACAACACAAACCAGTTTTCAAAGATGAAATGCAAAGCAATATTTAGAGATTTGAAATTAAATCATAAATATATAGTAAAGCTATAGACAAATCATTGCATTTGTAATTAACAAACTAGAAACCGCAATACAATAAAACAAAACAATAAAAGAAAGACAAAGAGTTCAAATATTTCGCATATTATTAATAACACAAAAAAAAGGATAAAAGAAAATTTTGTCTGATCAAAACCAAACTCATAATTCCAATATTGAAGCAGAAAAAACCAAGCAAAACAATAAAAAGGAAGTAAAACAGTTTAAATATTTCTTTCAATATTAATAACACAAAAAAAAGATAAAAAACAAACAAATTTTTGTCTGATCAATACCAATCTCAACATTACAATATTTTCAAAAATTTGTATTCAGGTTAGAATGGAAAAACATTATCACTTCACAAACAGTATCCACTATCTGCACACTTGTGTTTCACCCTGTACTCACTTTTACTGCTTCGTATATTACGACCGCGTAATATCCCTTTTAGAATATATTTATCTTAAAAGAAGCACTTCTCGCCTATCAATACGACACTCGCTATCCCTATTTACGGTATAAATTAACACCCTGTAGAACATAATTCGACACCTACCTTAACGGCCATGTTGCTATATTTCCAATGATTACAGATTGACTGATAAGAGAAAACATCGTCACTAGCGTATTTATACTAGTGCCGAAAATGAATAGTAACAGCTTTCTATAACGCTTTGTAGAATACTAATATGTTGCACCATTTTTTCTCTTTTTGTTTTGGATGTGTTACAATTAGGTGTAATATGTATATTGGTCAATTATGTTTGTTATATAAAAGTATTAGTAAATAGGTAAGGTGTAAAATTCTTACAAAGACACCATTATACTCATATTATGTACTTTCTATATACTTGTAGATATTCTGATTGATGTACTGAGAGTGGCAAATATTATAACTATATCAAGGAAGACTAAAAGTATATATTATGAATCATGTAGCAAATTATATGACAACGTAAAATACAGATAAGATAAAGAAAAGCCAGAAAACTATTTAGTTCAAAGTAATTATTTTAAACCAATCTATAGTTCATCATTCCAAGAAAGCAACGAAAAGTAGTAAGTTATAACTTCGAAAGTGGATTCCTGAAAATGGTCGACATTAGTTTTTTTTTTTAAATTTTTAGTCACCAAAATTGATGCGGTTTTATTTAGGTGAAGATTAATTTAATCAACAATCATTAATATTAGGGCCTATATAAAAATTTTCATGTCTCTACAATTTGTTGCAATTATTTGTTCCTTGATCTGCCTTTTTCCAACTTTCCTACATTTTTACATTCTTGTTAGATAACTATCATTAGAAACCACAGAGGATACACACACAAAGCTACCGAACCAGTGCCACGATGTGCCCATCGAATTATTAAAATTCATTGATGAAGATCTGCCACAATCTCCAGACAATGTCAGCAATCGACCTTTGTGGCAATACACAAGTCAAGTGCAATATCTTGCTCAGATCACAGAATAAGAACTTTAATCTTTAATGAGTCACACTCTTAAGACATTTTTGAAAATAATACACTGCAGAATTGTTAAAACTTTTGTATATGAAATTAGTGACACAAAATTTGGCTTCAGAAATCATATTATAGTCACAAGAGATGCTTTGTTCGGCTTGAATGTGCTGGCTCAAAGATACATTGATATGAATCAGGACATCAGTACTTACGTTTTGGAAATTTAAAAAAATCATTTGATGAGGTTCAACATAAAAAGCTTATAGATGCATTAAAACGCAAAAATATTTAAAGTCGTAATATGATTATTATATCTAATCTATATTGGAATCAAACAGCCAAGGCAAGAGTTAACAACGAGAACATCCGAGATATCAAAATACAGAGAGGAGTCTGGCAAGTTGCGTGCTGTTGCCAGTCTTTAATGTCTACAGTGCAGCGGAATTTCAAAAAGCTCTCTCAGATTAATTAGAAGGCATATCTATAAATAAAGAAATTTGGAATAACTTGCGTTTTGCAGACGATATAGTAATATTGATGAATAAAAACAATAATTTACAGAACGTAATGTAACGACTTAATTAATGCTGTTATGAATACGGACTAAGGATGAATTTGAAGAAAACCAAATATCGTATGATTAAGACTAAATCACATCACATCCAATTGATTATTGAGAATCCTGTAATTGAGAGTACGGATACCTACAAATACTTAGTAACAGGGATAACATCAATTATAGACCAAACCAAAAAAATTAAGTAGTAAAGTCTATTGTGTATTATTTGAATTTCCCTACTTGATATTTTCAGCAAAATTCATCTTGCTCGTATGGCTTTTAGAGTTTAAATCTCTTGACGACTGGACTAGGAAAGTCGATTTAAGATTTAAGATTACACTAGTGTAAGTACAAAACACCAATTAATTAACTGTTAATGGTATAACCAACAAAGGATTCATTACGATCTGCCCAACGATTTGTCCCAGTTTCTACATGACTGGTATATCATTGAATTGCTCTTCTCATATTATCGCTAATAACCTTTTGGCTGATGCGATATTTGGTTTAATAAAAAAAATAACGGAATTGCAAAAAATTACTTTTAAAGATTCAAGATCGAAACATTCTCAGCGTCATTTAAAACGTCTTTTGTTGATAAGCAGCTTTCAGCATATAGTAAAAAAGTGTACAGTGGTGCGTAAATTTGTTGTGGCAGAGTGCGTTCTCATCAGGTGTTCAAAAAAGTTAGTTTTTTTTTTTAAATTCTATTCACAATAGTACCTGATTCCAACTATCCTTTTATCTTGGTCTCTTAAACCGAAATTCTTTATTTTATAGAAATGTAGCTAGCATGTGGTAATTGAGTAATAATTCCCATCCCACATGCATAAATGAGATTTGATAATTATATCCTGGGTTATATATTTAATTTTGGTTTACCAAATTAGCATGACAAATTGTTATGTTCATTTTAACAAGTTTAAATACGTATTAGTTTACTTATATTCAATTTGATGACATCCATAAAATAACAGATTAAATTAAAAAGCATTTTTAATTGATTGATTGAGTGATTTTTTATCTCCAAATATTTTACAACTACAAGCAAATATTAAATAAAACTGATATTAGTTTTGCTTTTAGCCCTGTCTTCAATTTAGTCTCTAGAAACTAGACGAACAAGCTAAATTTTATTGTCAGTGTCAATTTTAAAACCACAAACAAAGTTGAAAAAAGTTCCTACGTCCGATCGTAACTTAGTAAATCCCCCCCCCCCCTAAGTGGGAAAAATAAAAAACGTCGATTTACCTATAAAATTTGTTTTAACTCAACGGTAGAAGTTTGACATATTTTGGTCAGAGTATAAAATTAGTTAGAGCATTCTATAAAGAAACATCAAAATGCTGTAAAATGTTTTAAAGACGTAAAAGACTGCGTTTAAAGTGTAACTTCTTTTTAGATCTTGGACTTTTAGGGTTTCTAAACGTTGATTTGTATTGGTAAGTGTTCTTTGTGTGGGAAAAACATATTAATAATACGTATTTCATTTTTGCTGCAGAAGTACCTCAGGTCTCCGTTTTTGTTTCCGTAATATTTTTTATTATTATGGCTGTTTTATTCCTGGAACAATAATTTTTAAACTTTGAGGGTATACAAGGCAACTATCGAACACGGTGATTAATTTAATCTTGCCCAAGTACTTTCGATCAATAGATCATCTTCAGGGGCATTTCGTCAGTTGTGGCCTATCCGACATAGTAGAATGTCATAAATGTAAAATTTGGACATAACAATACAAAATACAATACACTAAGACAAACAAACACTTTAAAATTTATAAGGAGAAGCTACATATTGTATAGAAGCCGGAGACAATAATTATTGCCAACACTTGCTTTAAAATCACCATAATGGCTATGCATTTGTCATTTCGGGTCTTGTGTATTTCAGTCAGAAATTTTGTTTGGATGTGGCATTGCTGTGGTTCTCAGGTGAATATATTGCTATGACATTTAGAGGTTTCACGTCCAATTTACATGCTTGTTTGGTTTAAACATGTAGTTTAAACATTTTTTGGCTCCGATTTCTTCCGCAACACCATCAGATAGTCATGGAGCATAATTTGAGCCCTTCATTTTTGCTTCATCTACTGTAGTGCATATATATCTATATTTTTTTTACAAGTTCTTTTGTAATTTTCAGCTTTCATCTGTTTAGGGAATTCACGTCTCAAGTACCGATTTGAAATATATTTATCGCTTTCTATTAATTCGGTATCTTTTTTCTCGCGATATTCGTCGTGATGAAATCATTCCTATTCCGAGCCATAATCCAATTTCTATGAGTTTTATGAGTTTATCAATAGTGTGCTCTACACTAGCTGTAGAATTCCTCTCCTTTATCCGAGTTTGGGACCGGCAACAGTTTTGTGGAACTACTGGATGCACCCAACAAAACTGCAGGCGGAGTTAAAGAATTGAAAAGTTAATAAAGAACACAATAACTGCAGGTAAAGACAGAATACCACACGAATTACTAAAATATTTAACAACTCTATTTACAAAATTATAAAACACAATACGGGAAGAATAAAGAACTAGCGAACTAATGCTACCATTTAAAAAAGGAGATAAAACATACAGAACACTACAAAGATTTAACCTTAATAAAGACTACTCCAAAACTTAAACTAATACAACAACTAAAATTTTAGAAGAATTAAATGAATCAGGGGATAAATTTAGAAGATTAACAACAGGGTTTTCATACTAAAAGATTCAAATATGCAATATTCGTCGTAAGGCAAATTACTGAGAAATATCAGAACACATGCACTAAAACCAACACCCGATCTAGCGACAACACAAAGACTATGGAAGCAGCAAAGATGTGAGTGCTGAGAATAATTACAGAAAATACGCTAAGAGATCGAAAGAGAAGTAAGGACATTAGAAGAAAATGTGCCGTAAAGTGTAGAAACGAACGAAAACTAAACAGAAAAAAGGGTGGAATAACCACGTAAGCAGACTGTAGGCGACCTGTGTGGTCAAAAAGCAAGAGTTAATTACCAATCGGTAGAAGTATGAGTCAATCAACGAACAAGCAGAACTGACTATACAGAGAACGAAGAAGAAGAAGTAATGTTATTTTAATGACCCTTCGAGAGAACATTAAACACCATACCAGATCACGTATAACTTACCAGCATCAGATATTGGTGCTTTTAATATCATAGTTTCTGGTATGAGTGAACCGGTACCTTGGGGAATAAGTAATAGAGATATTAGTTTACTCCATAATAACAATGTTTTTGTAATAAAACTGATTCTGATTTAATTTAATATTTAACATTCTTTATAAAATTTAGATTTTATGTAAATTATTATAATCAACTAACCGTCAAGTCAACAGGTTGTAGTGCAGTGACCTAATAAAAGCAATAAATTGATTCAAAAAAGCAGTAGTTGAATTCTGACGCAAATTAAGGCAATTAAGAAGAACAAATATTTTTAAAAAGTCCGCAAATTATTAATAAATTCTTTTTACGGACGTGTTGAAGTTTTAAACAACCGGCGGCTTTGGATCGCGACTTTATTTTTTTAA